GGTGGATGGGGAGATGGGCGCTAGCCAGCCAGCAACTGAGTATTGATAACAGGAGGAAAGAAAAAGTTCTGCTTGGGGCGCAGACGCCGGCGGCCTCACGCCTTGTAAATCCCAGCACTTTTGGAGGCCAAGGCCAGGCGGATTCCATGAGCCTCAAGAGTTCAAGACCAGCCTGGGCCAACATGGCCAAAACCCCCCGTCTTACTGAAAATTTACAAAAATGTAGGCCGCGCCACAGTGGTGCCGCGCCTATATAATCCCAGATACCTCGGAGGCTGACGCAGGAGAATCGCTTGAAGCCAAGGATGGTGGACGTTGCAGGAGCTGAGATCGCGCCACTGCGATCCAGCCTGGCGGCGCAGAGTAAGACTTCTGTCTCAAAAATACATACATCAACACAATCTTCCAATCTAGTTCTTGGCACGCTGACCACAGTCGAGCTACTCGGTAGCCACATATAGTTCAATGGCTGCCGACTGGAAGGAACAAATTTGTGGAGCATTTCCATGGCCAAAATGCTGTCTAGTTGGCAGCTACTGTGTGAGGTTACAGCAGCCATCAAGTGGCCTGCCTAGTTCACACCCCCAGGTAGCGGGCAGAGCCACCCACCATGACCAGGCTAAATGCCAGACATTATACCCAGCAGGATGTGGGCAGGAGAATAAGAGAAGGAAGACAGGGCACCAGGCGTTGGTGGCTCACGCCTGTAATCCAGCACTCTGGGAGGCCAAGGGTGGTAGATACACCAAAGTCAGGAGTTTGAGACCCAGCACTGACAACACAGTGAAACCCCATCTCTTAACCAAAAAATACAAAAATTTAGCTGGGTGTAGGCGTGGCAGGCCACGCTTGTTATCCCAGGCTACCCAGGCGCTGAGCATGGGAGAATCACTTGAAACCTGCGGAGACGGAGGCTGCAGTGAGTCATAAATCACGCCACTACACTACAGCCCTGGCGATCAGAGTTGAGACTCCCCTCAAAAAAAAAAAAAAGGCCGGGCGCAGGCTTCACACCTTGTTAATCCCAGCACTTTGGGAGGCCGAGTGCGGCGGGATCACAAGGTCAGGAGATTTGAGACCATCCTGGCTAACACTGGCTGAAAACCTCATCTCTAACTAAAAAACTAAAAACGTTAGTTTTTGGGGCCGTGGTGTCGGCGCACCTGAGCTTCCCAGCTACTCGCCGAGGCTGAGGCAGCGAGAATGGGTGAACCGCAGAGGCGGAGCTTGCAGTGAGCCGGAGATTGTGCCATTGCACCATCTAGGCCTGCGGCCACAGAGCAAGCTCCGTGTTCTCAAAAAAAAAAAAAAAAAAAAAAAGATGAAGAACAGCAGCGACCACGGATGGGCAGATGGGAGTGTTATGGACTGAGGCTGCTGCTTTCCTTCCCAAATTCCATATTATGGCGAAGCACAAACCCCACCCAATGTGATTATATTTGCGAGGCATGGGGGCACTTTTGCGAACAGGCGTAATGAAGGTTATGTGACTGGCTGATAAGGGTTTAGAGGATGATTGATAGCACTGGGGCCTCAGAAGGAAAGAAGAACAGGTTGGGCTGTGGTGGCTCTTACCTTGCTAATCTCAGCCGCTTTTGGGAGGCCAGAGCAGGAGGATCTCAGGCAGCCCAGGAGTTTTAGACAGCCTGCGGCAACACAGGGAGACCCCCCAGCTCTCTAACAAAACATTAAAAATTAACCAGCATAGGCCCGGTGTATGCTGCCTGCAGTCCCCGCTACTTGGGAGCCTGAGGCCAGGAGGACCGTGGAGCCCTGGGAGGTGAGGCACTGCAGTGAAACGTGTTCATGCCAACTGCACTCCAGCACTGGGCACAGAGCAGGACCTCACAAAAAAAAAAAAGAAAAGGAAAGAGAGAGGAGAGAAGAAGAGAGGAGTAGAGAGAGAAAGAAGAAAGAAGGGAGGAAAGAGGAAGGAAGGAAGGGGAGGGAGGGGAGAAAAGAGGGAAAGAAGGAAGGAAGAGGGAGGAGAAAAGAGGGAAGGAAGGAAGAAAAGAAGAAAAGGAGAAAAAGAAAAGCTATAATGAGGTCATAGGGTGTTAGGGTGGACCCTGGATCTGATACGAAAACTGGTGTCCTATATAAGAACAGGAGATGGCGGGCGCGTGGCTCACGCCTGTAATCCCAGCACTTTGGGAAGCCAAGGCAGGTGAATCACAAGGGTCAGGGATTCGAGACCCAGCCTGACCAACATGGTGAAACCTGTGCTGTGCCTGACTGAACACCAACACAAAAATTAGCCAGTCTGGTGGTGGCGAATGCGCGCTTCAGCCCAAGCTACTTGGAGGCTAGAGGCAGGATAATAATCACTTGAACCCAGGAGGCAGAGGTTGCAGTAAGCCGAGATCATGCCATTGCACTCTAGCCTGGGTGACAGAGCAGAAAAAAAAAAAAAAAAGAACAGGAAGACAGCAGGAGTGCATAGGCATAAAGAAAAGACCATCGGCCGGGCGCAGTGGCTCACGCCTGTAATCCCAACACTTTGGGAGGCCAAGGCGGGCAGATCATCTGAGGTCAGGAGTTCAAGACCAGCCTGATCAACATGGTGATGGTGAAACTCCATCTCTGCTAATTAGCTGGGTGTGGTGGTGGGCACCTGTGGTCCCAGCTACCCTGGAAGCTGAGGTGGGAGGATCGCTTGAGCCCAGGAGACAGAGGCTGCAGTGAGCTGAGATCATGCCACTGCACTCCAGCCTAGGCAACAGAGCAAGACCCTGTCTCAAAAAAAGAAAAGGTGTTCCAAGGAGAGGGCCCTGGGGGCCAGTGGGGTTGGGGCAGGAGAACGGTGGGAAACAGTGACCACCATCAATCATTTTGAGGGATAGAGGGGAGCCTGGAGGGCCAGGCTGGTCCCTGAGGGCCAGGCTGATACCCCAGGGCCAGGGAGCATGAGGCCCTGCCACCGTCACCACCCTGCAGCACCCCCCTGGGGTCTTACAGCTCCACCACGGGCTTCCATGGGGTATCATAGTAGACGAGGAGAGGACAGCCCAGCTGCTGGTAGGAGTAAAACACGTGCAGGTCCTTGGAGGACTGCCGCCCCTGGAAGCCGGGGTCGTAGAATTCCCTTCAAGACACCAAGAAGCAGAGATGGGGAATCTGTGAGTTCTTGCCCAGTCTGCGAACCCTTCACAGCCGCAGTTTCTTGTATGCAAATGGGGATCGTCCATGAGAGTGGGTGGAGGGGGCATCTGAGGTGGGCAAATGAGAGCCATGGACCAGAAGATGCTGAAACTTCCCATTCTAGTTAATTTTTTGGCTGGAGCACAGTAATGCAATCATGACTCACTGCAGCCTCCACCTCCTGGGCCCAAGCAGTCCTCCCACCTCAGCCTCCCGAATGGCTGGGATTACAGGCACACGCCACCACACATGGTTAATATTTTAAATTTTTGTATAGATGAGGTCTTGCTGTGTTGCCCAGGCCGGTCTCAAACCCCTGGCCTCAAGTGATTCTCTCACCTCAGCCTCCCAAAGTGCTGGGATTACAAGTGTAAGCCACCAAGCCCAGCAAAATTTCTGCTTCTTAAATTAGATCAGTGCAAAAGTAATCGAGGTTTTTTTTTTTTTTTTTTTTTTTTTCTTTTTTTTTTTTTTGAGATGGAGTTTCATTCTTGTTGCTCAGGCTGGAGCACAGTGGCATGATCTCAGCTCACTGCAACCTCTGCCTCCCGGGTTTAAGCGATTCTCCTGTCTCAGCCTCCTGAGAAGCTGGGATTACAGGTGCCTGCCTCCATGCCCGGCTAATTTTTTGTATTTTTAGTAGAGACGGAGTTTCATCATGTTGGCCAGGCTGGTCTTGAACTCCTGACTTCAGGTGATCCACCTGCCTCAGTCTCCCAAAGTGCAGGGATTACAGGTGTGAGCCACTGCACCTAGCCAGTGTTTGCCATTACTTTCAACGGCAAAAAACGTAATTACTTTTTTTGTGTGTGTGTGTGTGTGAGACGGAGTCTCACTCTGTTGCCCAGGCTGGAGGACAGTGGCGTGATCTCGGCTCACTGAAACCTCCGCCTCCCGAGTTGAAGCAATTCTGCCACCTCAGCCTCCCGAGTAGCTGCCACTACAGGCATGTGCCACTACACCTGCCTAATTTTTGTATTTTTAGTAAAGACGGGGTTTCACCACGTTGGCCAGACTGCTCTCAAACTCCTGACCTCAAGTGATCTGCCCATCTCAGCCTCCCAAAGTGCTAGGATTACAGGCATGAGCCACCGCGCCCGGCCAAAACCGTAATTACCTTTCCACCAACTAACAAATCACCTAGTTTAAAGTATTTTGCAATACAGCCCACATAGACTAAGATGACACTCCCCTCTGTGTCCTCCGCAGGCTCCAAAGTCACTGCCCCTTAGCAGCCCAGAAGCACCAGTTTAGGCCTCAGCTCTAAATGGGTAACTGACTTTTGACTTGCATTTGAGGGGTCAGGTGTTACAAATCACACAGAAGTGTGCACTCGCGTGGTAAGGAGCTCCCCCATGCTGGGTGCAATGAGGGGCCTTGATATGATTGAATATTTGTCACTTCCAAAAGCTCCTGCTCAAACTGGATCCCCAGTGTTGGAGGGGGCGCCTAGTCAGAGGTGTTTAGACCACAAGGGCAGGGCTATGAATGGCTTAGAGCCATCTTCATGGTACTGAGTGGATTTTCCATCTCAGCTTCCATGATAACTGGTTGTTTAAGAACCTGGCACCTTCTCCCACCATCCCCCCACTCTATTTTTGTTTTTTTCTCTAGGTTGCCCAGGCTGGTCTCAAACTCCTGGGCCTCAAGCAATTCTCCTGCCTCAGCCTCCCAAAAATGCTGGGATTACAGGTGTGAGCCACTGCACCTAGCCTCCTCCCCACTGCCCCCCTCTTTTTTTTTTTTTTTTATGAGACAGAGTCTCCCTCTGTCGCCCAGGCTGGAGTGCAGTGGTGCGATCTCTGCTCACTGCAACCTCTGCCTCCCGGTTTCAAGCAACTCTCCTGCCTCAGCCTCCCGAGTAGCTGGCATTACAGGCGCCCACCACCATGCCTGGCTAATTTCTGTATTTTTAGTAGAGATGAGGTTTTGCCATGTTGGCCAGGCTGGTCTCGAACTCCTGAGCTCAAGTGATCTGCCCGTCTCGGCCTCCCAGAGTGCTGGAATTACAGGCGTGAGCCACCGCACCTGGCCATAACTCTTTTCTTTATAAATCACCCAGCCTGGGGTAGTCTTTCAAAGCAGCACAAATTGACTAAGGCCCAGACTCGCGTATCGGCGTGGCAGCACACACTCACTGAGTGGGACAGCATGTGGGACCAGCCAGCTGAGGCAAGAGGATCGGTTGAGCCCAGGAGGTCGAGGCTGCAGTGAGCTATCATCGCCCCGCTGCACTCCAGCCTGGGCCACAGGGCCAGACCCTCTCTCTTAAAATAAATGAATGAATGAATGAATGAATGAATGAATGAATGAATGAATGAATGAATAAATAAAATTCCTAATTTGCTCTTGGCTTTTGCAGGCCTGATTGTTGCCTTGGGTTTTCAGGTGTTGCGGCGGGGGGGACACTGGCTTACTTGTCGATGATGAAGCTATAATTGTCTTGCAGGGCCAAGGCATCCAGGACGCCCTTGGAACAGGCAGAAACTGTGCTGCAAGCAAAAGATGACATTGAGCAATTGTGCGACCTCACAAGGAACCAGATCATTATGGATGGGACAGAAAGGGAGAGGCTGGGCGTGGTGGCTCAGGCCCAGCACTTTGGGAGGCTGAGGCAGGCGGATCACCTGAGGTCAGGAGTTTTGAGACCAGTCTGGCCAATATGGAGAAACCCTGTCTCTATTAAAAAAATACAAAAAGTTAGCCAGGCGTGGCATCACGTGCCTCTCATCGCAGCTTCTTGGAAGGCTGAGGCAGGAGAAT